TTTTTATGCGTTCCGTACATTAATGTTTTAATCTTTCAAATATAGTCGCTTTTTCTTTCTCAACGGGACTCAAGACTATAGAGAAGACCCACTCACAATTTTTTTTTTAATTATTTAACATTTAATCAAACGCTTACGTCGGTGATTAATTGCTTAATGATTAAATTAACGTTGCATTGTTTTCCTCAGGTTCTTCAGCTCAAGGAACAACTCTATGATGCAGAGAGGGAGATCCAAAGATTGGCAGAAAGAGTAGAAAGAGGCTCGAGCAACAGTCCCATTTCTTCTTCAGTTTCTGTTGAAGCTAATGAAACACCGTTTTTCGGAGACTATAACGTCGGAGACGACTATGATAACCTCTTTTATCCGGTGCCGGAAAACAGCTACATCGGCGGAGTAGAATGGGCGAATCATTACATATAAAATTGATAGCTTTATGTAATAATTTTAATTGTATTGATTAGTGTTCTGATTTAGGGAAGAATATTTGAAGTAAACTAGTAGAATATGTAACACTGAATTTCGAGTGTATAAATAAAGATAACGACAACGTATTTATTTATAATACGTTGTCGTAAGTCTAGAAGATAGAGGACTAGATGACATGCACATGAGAAACGTTGTTAAATCTTTGTATGAAATATAACAAATGTTGGTGAAATTAACATTATGAGTCAAGTTTCGCAGTGTCACTCTCACTCGACAACTAATGAGTAAATTTATGATATGGTTAGCGATCATATTGGCCATTCTCAGTCACCAGTGATCGCATACTTAATGTGAAAATGTCTTGATAGTCATATCAAAATCGAAAGAAACTAAACGATTACAATTATCAGCTGGTTACATGCATTAGTATATCAAGATAGAACACTCATCCAGTTTGATTGTATCCATTTAAGTGTGGGATAGGTTACTAATTTTCATGTGTTGTTGGTGACAACCATTATGAAAAATGGTTATAACGACATACGTATTCTGAATGGCAAAATGTTTTATTCCTGATTTGAGGATTCTTGATACATGCATACATCTTTTTAGTATATCCGTACAAGATATTTGGTTCATGCATCTGTTTAAAATCGACCGAAAATTTGTTGGTCTCGTAAAGCTTAGCTAGAAACTGTGGACCCACGAAGAAATGTTTGGCGAATAAGTGAAAGATTTGATGTAATTTGGGTAAAATAGAAAGTGAACTGTGAAGCAAACGTAGTGTAGTGGTCTTTCCTAAATTAGTATGTTTGAAGTACTCGTAGCTACAGTTTTTTTTTGGACAAATACTCGTATCTACTTTCAAGTTTCAAAACATTCACTGTATCTAGGGTGTAGTACTATTATGTTGTCTTGAGTTCTCATTGATCAGATTAAGAAAGTTTGTCACCTTTTTTATATGGTGATCAAACACATAATCAGCTAATGGCAATGCTACTGCTCCATGAAATATAATATATTTGTTTAAGATAATAATTTGTTTAAAGTACACTGGATTTTGACATCTATATATGTTATAGCTTTCTAAATCAAATTTTTATGTTATGAAATAAAAAAATCCCTTTGTTCGCCTAGTCAATGAATTGAATAACTGTGTTAAACTTTTTTCTTTTGTGTTATGATTAAAACAGAAATATAATTCTAAACTATACAAAACATAACAAGAATATACAAACATAATTATAACATTGATAGAGAGCTTTTAGATAATACACATCCACAATACATGATGCACACATTTGGGATTATAAACTCATCAACAAAGACGAGTTTATGCATCTCATACCCAAAATAGTCTCTAACAAAAATCATGTTGACTCGCTTAATTATAGATGGCAAAATTCAACCTCGGTAAAGTTTAAGAGCATGTTGGCTAAGTTTGCGCCAAAAAGTACCTCTGCATTGAGTGAGGTAAGATTGGATTTAACCGAATCCAATAAATTTTTTTAGACTGTATCCAAATCAAAACTAAATTTTGATTTATTTTCATTTTGAACTGGAAGTATAATTTAGTTTTATGTATGTACGCCAATCGTAACAGGTGCATATGTCTCTGAGTAAAAAAAACGAGTCTCGGGACAAACTAAGATTGACCCCATGGGTGATAACTATACATTGTATCCTTGTACAGATGGTAAGAAATCTAGCATGCAGTCTCCATGTACAGCAACACCAACAGGGAAAAACCTGTTGAACCTCCTTCATTTAACTGAGATATCCACTCTTCAAAAAGACTAGGTTGTTTGGTAACATAAGTTAAGATATTGTTGGGTAACACCAACTTGGTACACTTTCACATGTCTGGACTTGTCCACAACTTTGATTATCGGAACGAGAAAAGCAGCCATGGCTCAAGGAATTGAAAATTATCGGGAAAAAGGATAGTAAAGAAGGAAAATCGCAACAATAATCTACTTGTTTTCATATTTAATAGAATCACCAAATGGTCAATACATCTTTGTATTACTTGTTTTTCATACCTAACAGTAGCAGCAAATGGTCAAAACATATTTAAAATTTATTTAGTCTTATATTGGATATTGTTTTATTTTGCTAAAATATTGTGTTATTTTAAAAATTGATAAAAATAAAATAAGGTATGGATTACTCATTTTTTTCTTTGAACACCAAATGCTTATACTAAAATTAATGTCCCAATGCTAAATCGATTACAACCGGAGAGATCTTCGACGATAAATTGATAAACGTAAACAACTAAAACATGATGGATGGTAGATGTGGCAAAGAAGAGAAGAGACCTATAGAGAAGCTTCACTTGTAATCTTAAAGCCCACGTTTGAATGAACATAAAAGAAGTCGAAGCTGATATTGAAAAACCCAATCAATAGATTTTGAGAGCAAGAAGTCCAGGAACCTCTGCAGAGGATCACAACTCCAGTGAGAGGATCGCTGAGCTGAGTCTGTGAAGAACCATCGATGTTCGATATGGCATAATATGATGGAGACGCAATGCTAACGTAGTATCAAGCTGATCTGGTGTGTCCACACTCTTACACATTAGTTCCAGCGACGAGGAAAGTGATGGAAGGATCGTAGAATCGACTCTGTGAAGAACCGTCGATGCTTGAGATGACGTAGTGTGATGGATACGCAGCGGTGACATAGTAACGAGTAAATCTGGCGAATCCACACTTTTGCACACATGGTCGGCCCTGATCTACTCAAGCTGGTGAATATAGGGCTTTAGGCGCCACATTAGAATAAGAATTTAGGTGCATCAAAAAAAAAAGTTGCTTGTAGTCAGTCTTGTGGTTGCGCACGATTTCTCTGTATATAGAGTGTAGGATTCGATTCTACGGGCAAGATTATTTTTTTGCTTTAGGCATCAAATTTTATTGGGCTGGGCCTGTTTCAACGAATAATTTAATAAAGCTTCATATACCAAGTAAATCAAAGAGCTGCACCCTATGAAAACATTATATTCTAGAGAAATTGGAACAAAAAGATGTCAGACATCCTTGATCTTCATCATATATTTGTGTTGGATGCATCTATGCATTAAAAGAAAAGTACCGTATTTTTTAATTTATCGTAAAATTTGTGGGTTTACCTTTACAAAAAGATCGAGTTTTCGATAAATGATATTTACAGAAGTTTAAGCTATTTCATGTTAACTAAAAAATACATAATCACATTATATGTTTATATTAACGTATATTAAACTTATTTTCATGGTACTTGGGCATCGTTTCTAATATTTTAATGATCATTTTAAAAGAAAATTTTCATATTAACCTAAGTCAATGGACTAACACATATAAAATCTCTAATTTCTGGAGAAATATGACAAATAAGATCTCAGACCTTTTCAATTTTTATCACATGTCATTGTATGATGAAGTTATGCATTAAAATTTTTAATTTATCTTACGTAAAAATCATTTTTTTCCAATAAATGTTATATATACTAAAGTTTAGTCTCATTAATATATTTTTAAATACCTGGCCACACTCTTATGCATATTAATGTATGCTAAATAGTATATATCAAAAAAATCAATATTTTCATATGGTTAACTCACATAATTCAAATAAACTAGAAAATATGATATTTTTAATGCATAGATGTACCATGTACTGACATAGTATGAAGATTAAATGTTCAACTAGAAAGCCGAGGTTTGGACAAATGCTGGTGGATGGTAAGCTCTTCATCGCCACTAGCTCTCATGGTAATGTTTTACTTAAACAGCAAGTTCTCAGAGTAAGTGCTCATGAATCCACTGTCCCCAGGGATTAATCTGAATATGGGAATAGACTTATGGCCTTCCCAAGCTGGAGTACCTGTGAAGGCAAGACCAGGCTGACCAGCTCATCATACATCTTATCTCAGCCTGCAACGTAGCCTTTCTGATTTGGTGTCTACTCAACAGGATGAACTAGAGCTCTAAGAGGCAGAAAAGGTAACAAGCTAACCGTGAATTCGCTAGGCGTTCCAGATTGAGGAAGCAGGCAGAATGTAAACAGCTTCAACAGAGAGTAGAGAGTTTGAAGAGTGAGAATCAAAGCCTGAGAGATGAGTTACAGAGACTCTCTAGTGAAATGTGAGAAGGTCAAGACTGTGAACAACTCTATTCAGGTAACAACAACAACAACTCTTCATCCAAAACTTGATTCTATTGAGTTTTTTTTGGCTTTCATTTAACTATTAGCAACATGATGAGTTGGTAAAAGTGTAGCTAATATAGAGCAGAAGAATGCTACTGCTGCTTCTAAAGATGATGAAGAACAGATTAACACACTTAGGAACACATGGAACCTTATAACGGATTATTGGGATTTTTCAACACTTATTTGCTTAAAGTTATTTGAGATTTACTTGACATAATAGTGACTCGACATAAAGGTTGTAAAAGCTGCAACGTTATGAATACATTTGTTGTTCTATTAGTCTTCATGATCAGATTCAGAGTCTGGTTCAGTGCTAGTAGGGATTGGGATTTCTCCTTGTCGTTGTTGGGTTGGTGATGCAACTTCATTGACTGTTTAGCAACAAAAAAAACTCTCTAATTCAGAAAACAAACAAAAGTATCAAACTCAGTGATCATAGAAAACTAGAGTTTATAGAAACTAAAACCTGATCCTAAGATTCTGACAATCATTGATCGCACAAAACGTATCTCTCCTTGGTGTGACCTAATCACCTTCACCTGCCAAAATGTTATGTGTGTTCACAAGGCATTAGTAAAAGTAACTCAAGAGTGTTTTGAGTTTTGAAGAAAGTTACCATTTGCTCATATACTCCATCCACAAGTCGATCCAATCTAGCTTGGTGACGTGTCAGGAAAGGACGAAGGTGGTTGTTATATATTTGTTTCGCTCCCTAAACCAAAAAAACAATCAGTAAACAATTTAAATAAAAATCTTCTCAACATATTAAAATGATGGTTACAAAGAGATATACATCAATGGTGGGAAGTTGAAGCCAGACGAGGAACGCAAACTTCACATGATAGTATAGTGGAAACCTGTAAAACAAAAAAAACAAAGTATCAATAACAAGACAACACTTATCAATACTCTCTGCATATGATTTTGAGATATATTTATGAATCTAACCAAGAAATGAGTTTGTCAGTGAACACTTCAACAAGGCTGAAAGAACCATAAGCTGCCCAGTAAGTAAGCCATTTATGTTGTTCATTCTGATCCCTATTCTCAATTGCCTTGAATGTTGAGTATACAGGCAACCCTATCCCAACAGAACAGCTGCAAGAAACAAAAAAAAAAGATTCAGACAAAAACAGCTATAATAGAGTAAAAAACCCAACAGCAACTAGAAAACCAAAAAAAAAAATTCTACTGAACAGAACAAAAAGAACACAAGAGATTGGCTCTTGCAATAAGAAACTGACCATGCTGTACGAAGAACGATGTTGGAACCAAGTGGAGAAAGCAGTACACGTAACCCTACCTGCAAAATTTTCCATAGAGAACCCCAAAAAAAACAATCCACTATAGAAAAAAACTCTAATTTCAGACCAAAAAAAATGACAAAAGACTTAAACTTTCAGATGATTCAGACAAAACCCAGAAGACAAAACATTGATAAAGACTTAAACTTTGAGATGATTCAGACAAAACCCACAGGCAAGGTAGTGAAACAGAGTCCACCCAAACACATATCCAATCAAGTAGAGTCATAAAGTTTTTGACTTTAATGCATAAAAGTGGAGACAATCATTACAGAGAGAATATATAATAACCTCACTAGCTAAGCCGGATCCGATAAGCGCCATGGATTGAATCTGTGAAGTAAGATTGACGACCAACTCTGTTTTTTTTTTTTTTTTACATTCCTCTGTTTCTGAGAATAGGGCTTATGAATGATTTGAAAGACTCTAGTTCTGTCAGAGTCTCTTCTGGAGAAATATTAATATTTTCTTTTATTTAAAAATTTAAAAGGTAATAAACCGGAGGCGTAGATACAATTCGATTCGATTACCATTCTTAAACCAAACCAGTGTATGATTCGGTTTATTCTAAAAGCGCCAAGCTGACGTGTCAACAAGTGGCCCCTTTCATGCCAATACAGTACTAACTCTCCCTGTCGTTTGGCCACGTGGAAACACTCAGCTTGAAAGTTTTTTTTTTTGTTTTTTGGCCAAATTTACATGTTTTTGTCAACCAACTCTAGTTTTAAATAGTTTTGAATAAATTATAAAATTGGCCTTAGTAGTTATGGAATTTTCTAAAAAAATTTTTTTTAATCAACTAGTTCTATTCATTGATCAGTTTGCTCGGTAGAACGTTTACTCCAAAGAATCTTTAATATCTTTAGACTAGAAACAAGTCAAATGGGGCAATGTTTAATTATATTTGAATATATACTCAGTCTTGCCAAATAAAATAATGTGTAAAATTATGTTGATTTTTGTTCGTTAAAACAAAAAAAAAGGATAAATGGTGATGAATTAATATCCTGATCATCTCACTTTTTTCTATGTTATTTGATCCTGGAAATGCTTCCTACATTGATTCATAATCTTATTAATTTCAGTTTCAAAAAAAAAAAAAAATAATATCTAAAACAAAAATAACGTTCGGTGTTGAAAATAACGGATAAGATAATGAGAGATTATTTGAAAGTGCGAAACGTAAAGTACTTGTGCGAACAATGGTATTAGAAAAAGATGACATAGTTTTATTATTCAAAATCATATAATGTGACACACAAGTAAAACCAAAGCAATATGTGTATTTAATAACATGTTTCTATGTATGGATTTCTTGAGACATCCCTTTAGCCACCATCCTGCAAATCAATTTCCATCAAAAAGAAACCATGTCAGCATACACATGCTATTGATTGATTATAAACACCCATACAAATGAGACATAAATAATACTATACATACCGCGGGGGTCCGTGTGATTTGTGGCATTTGATACCAATACAATCGTGAATGCATTTATAGACTTCTCTAAAGAATATTTGGCACGAGCTCTCGCATCTGCTTACACAAGCGTCATATGATTCACCCACTGCTGTCAATGGCATCATCGTCAATGTCATCACCATCATCACCATGAATATACTCATACACTTCTTCTCCATCTTTCTTTCTTTTTTGTATTGCTTGTGTGTGGTTATTTGTCTCTTTTTGATGTATTCTACTCATTGTTTCCCAATCCCTATTTATAGATTTTAAATTTTTAAATTTTTGGAAACATATATCTACTCTATTAAAATAAAATCATTCTTTAAAAACCTACCATACAAAAAGAATCAATTAATTAGTATATAATGTATTTAAGAGTATTAATAGCAAACAAATCATATCAAGGAATCCCATCCTATTTGTTTTGCCAAGGATTCCCTTCCCTTTTTTTTGTTCAAAAGGATTCCCTTCCTATTCTACACGTTTCTTATATTAGTTAGTATCCTTTGATCATAAGTTTTTGTAATATGTTATCATTTATTTTCAAATAATTTTAATTTGTAGTTTGTACGCAGAGATTTTTTCCTTCTGTTCTTATTTATTGTTTCTTTGTCTACAATCACACATTTATATCTCCAAAACAATTTTTTTTTCTAATAACATACCAATTTCAGGATTCGCTCTGTTGGATGAAGTCATATAGGTCTGGGCGTTTCTGGTATCGGTTTAGTTTGGGTATTTCGGGTTTTGGTTAGTTCAGGTAGGGAGTGAGATGATCCATTTACTACATGACATATTTTTTGGTTCGTTCAGTTTGGATAGTTCCGGATTCGATTCAGATAGTAAAATTAGGAACATAAACTACCTAGAAAATTCGGTTTTCATTTGGTTCTGGTTTTGATTCGGATAAATGATCGGTTATTAAAATAAAATATCAAATAATTAGAATAATTTAGATACAAATTTCGAATATTTCGAATTACTTTGGATATTTTGAATAAAATTATCCATATACTTTTAGGTAGTTCGGATACTTTATAATTATTTAGTTAATTTCAACTATTTTTGAATATTTTTAATAGATTTTTAAATTAAAATCATATATTTAGTTATGTTATATGTATATAAAATTAATATTATTATATATTCGGGTACCCTTTCGGTTCTTATTCAGTTATTTTGGATATATAAATATAAGAACCGTTCGAATATTTAAAGAGTTCGGTTCAATTTCGATTTCGGATGTTTCAGTTTGGTTTTAGTTCGGTTCTTCGGTTCCGGTTCTTTTGTCAGGCCTAAAGCTATGCATGGTAACACGACATCAGTGCAAAATAAAATATTTTAAATCCATGATCTTGCGATACAAACTATGCCTCTCCCTACTATCATCAACGGTTCTTATCAAACTGATTTTTAAAATTTGATCTTCTTATCTTAGCGGGTAATTTAAATTGTTATCAAAGAACCATGCACTTGTCGACGTAACACAAGCACGTGTTCAAACAATTACTACACGTTGTGATTTGTAGACCCTACAATGTCTATATTTCACAATTCCCTTTATATTATACGATTTAATCACGCTTTAGCAATGAATAGCACAAAGATGACTAAAGTTACGGTATTGTCACTCTTTGCTCTTCTCTTTCTCGTATTACTCTGCACTAAGTCGTGGGCTAAGTCTGAAGAGTTTGATGAGGAGTCGGACGAAGAAAACGACGTCGCTGCTGTACCGTCATGTTGCGGGTTCTCGTCGCCTCTTCTCATCAAGAAAGATCAATGGAAACCAATTTTTTCGACCAAGTTCGGACACATCTCAACCGTTCAAATCGGCGAGGGATGCGGTGGGATGGGACCTTACAAAATACACTCCATAACGTTGGAGCCAAACGCTCTTTTGCTACCTCTTCTTCTTCATTCAGACATGGTCTTCTTTGTCGACTCTGGTACGTATATATAAACTGTTTCATTTTCATTTATGTGGTTCGGTTTGGTTTACGGATCAGTTTTGCGGTTTGGTAATTCGTATTAGGTTAAAAACGGTTTTGTGATTATATATAGGAAGTGGGATTCTGAATTGGGTTGAGGAGGAAGCGACGAGTACTGAGATAAGACTAGGGGACGTTTACAGGCTACGTCCCGGTACAGTTTTCTACTTACAGAGCAAACCGGTTGATATCTTTCTTGGAACCAAACTTAGGGTTTACGCAATCTTCTCAAACACCAAGGAGTGTTTACATGTAAGATATTAATTCTTCTTTCAAATTTATTTGATGTTCAAAACAATTCTTATTCTCTCCATGTAACCAATTGCATTTCTACTACTTTTTATAACTAAAAACTATATTTAAATTATATTTTTAATGTTATTTTTGAGGAAAAAAAGAGATTTTAATACTCCTATATGTTTACTGGTGTAAAACTTCATCTAATACTATAAAACAGAGAGTATTTGTTACAAAACAACCGAAGTTTTCATTATTCTAGATAAAAAAATTAATGGTGGTTGAGATTTGTGATCAATTACTTAAACACTATTTTTTGGATAAAATCATTTTTGTTTGATGATGATATGCGTATAAAATTTTACAGTTTTAAAATTTTCTGCGTTAACCTTATATCAACTAAAAAGAAAATTATTTTTCCTATTCTTCTATGTATCTATAACATTATTTGAGAAGTAAATTTGCTTAGTTGTCAACTTCTCCATGATTTTAGGTTATTTTACTTATTTTCATATTTTAATAATTTATTATATAATAAAAACGAATTTATGTTAATAATATTATATTTTTAGAAAATATGTTAATTATTTTGTATTAGATTGTTATCTTAAAAAATATATTATTCAATTATTATTTTAGAAGTAAAAATTTGTTTAGTTGTCAACTTCTCCATGATTTTAGGTTATTTTGCTTATTTTCATATATTATAAAATAAAATAAAAAGAATTTATGTTAATAATATTATATTTTTAGAAAATATGTTAATTCTTTTGTATTAGATTGTTATCTTAAAAATATATTTTTTAATTATAAAATTTAAGTGAATTTGCTGATTAATTTGTAATTTTCTGTGATTTAGGTAATCTATACTACTATTTATGAATGATTTTTTGCAAGAAAGCTTTCACGTTGAAAGTTAGAACGGTTAACATTATTTGAGAAGTAAATTTGCTTAGTTATCAACTTCTCCATGATTTTATGTTATTTTACTTATTTTCATGTTTTAATAATTTATCTTATATATTAAAACAGAAGTCATGACTTGACTTTATGTGTGATTTTATTAAAAATGGACTATTACTAGAAAGTTATGTTACATTAACTCTCTAATAATCTTATCATTATAATATCTTATGAAAAATCATATCTATAATAACAAAGATACGCTTAACAATTTGGTTTTGGTAAATTACCCCACACTTTCCAAGTTAGTCACGCAAAATATGTTAATATATATAAGTTTAGGAATCTTCTATTATTTATAAGGAAATATGTCAATAATAGTTAAATACATCCACAATCTATTAACAAAAATCACAGATTAGTAATATGAAATATCCTCTAACAAAATTTACACGTTTTATATATTAGATAAATTTATTTCGATGTAAATTTTTAAAATTAAATTATTTTTAATAAAAAATGTTTAAAAAATTATTTTTAATAAGAAATGTTTAAAAAATTATTTCTAATAAAATTATTTAAAAATGCTTTTAATAAAATTATTTATAATATTAATTTATGAAGTTATAAGTTTATTTTTTAGCAAAAATTTCTTCGAAGTTTATATTATCTTTTCAAAATAAAGTATACTAATATTTAATCAAGTTCTATTTATATTACTTTAT